AATGAGTTTTCCAACATTGATATTCAATTAAAAATATAGGTGTCCTCGTGCAAGTTAAACTGTATTGTACAAGTTGGATCACTAAGAGATACCCAATTTAAAAAAAAAAAAGAAAGGACAATCCCTCCCTACTGACTTTGATTTCTTTAGGACTGAAACAGGAAACACGACATGTTTTTCCTAGGCCCAGAAGTAGAATATTGCCCTGTGGTCCCACCTACAGGCTCCAGTACAGGCATGAGAGCAGTCGGCCGTCTCAGCTAACCAAATTTCCCCGTCTCGCAGGACCCGTCCTGATCCTTTATTAAATCCTGCAAGCTGTTTTCTGAAGCTGGGGCTTAACTTTTGTCGCTAGAAATGCAATAATCGGGTTGTATAAAAGGGTTACGGGCGAAAATGTCAATAAACATGTATATACCTTAATCTGTTTACCTGTATTTAGTCCGATAGGGCATGAATGTACAATAAAGGTTATCTGTTTTTAATAAAAACGTGCATATTATTGTTGCCTGGTTAGCTGGAATATGCAGAATATGCAGATGAAAGGAAGCAGTGTACAGGGAAAGTTGCTTTTCAATAATGTGGGTTAATTTATTATAGCCGTGTAGCTTCATGTCATACAGACTATTACAGTGCAACAGCAGGTGGCAGGTTAAAGTTTGAGAATGTTTCTGATGAAGCTGCTTCTTCTCCCTGAAAACAGTCTGGCACCCAGGCTAGCCCATGAGCCATGTAGCTAGCTGATACAGTAGCCCTGGAGAGAGTCTGGCACCCAGGCTAGCCCTGGAGCCGAGGAGCTGGCCTATATACTGGCCCTGAAGACAGCCTGGCACCCAGGCTAGCCCTGGAGCCGAGGAGCTGGCCTGTATACTGGCCCTGAAGACACCCTGGCACCTAGGCTAGCCCTGGAGCCGAGGAACTAGCCTGCATAGCGGCCCTGGAGAGAGCCTGGCACCCAGGATAGCCCTGGAGCCATGGAACTAGATTGTATACCGGCCCTTGAGAGTCTGGCACCCAGGCTAGCCTGTATACTGGCCCTGGAGACAGTATGACACCAGGCTAGCCTGTATATCAGCCCAGGAGAGAGCCTGGTACCCAGGCTATGCTGTCCCAGAGACAGGGAAGCTCAGATTGAAGGTTGCCCTGCCCTTGAGAGAGCCTGGTACCCAGGCTATACTGTCCCAGAGACAGGGAAGCTCAGATTGAAGGTTGCCCTGCCCTTGAGAGAGCCTGGTACCCAGGCTATGCTGTCCCAGAGACAGGCAGACTCAGATTGAAGGTTGCCCTGCCCTTGAGACAGTCTGGCACCCAGGCTATGCTGTCCCAGAGACAGGCAGACTCAGATTGAAGGTTGCCCTGCTCTCCCTCTCCAACTAACAACAGATTTCCTCCATGAAACGACCCACTCAAACCCGACCCCTAATCCCCAGCCTTCTCACATCTCCTGCCTGCTGGCAGCTCTCCAGGCTGTGATACAAGCCAGCCTCATCAGGTATTCTGCACACACCCTACAGCATGGTTAGGGGCCTGGGAGTCCCTGTAGTATAGATATGGGAAGGGAAGCCCCATTATGTGATGCAGGCACTGTTACCTGTCACCTTGTAGCTACACGCGTGTCAACCGTAATAAAGGAAGGTATTAGCTTTAATATGGAAATGATGGAACACTAGAAAGGCAACATTCACTGTTACCTGTTGAGCAGTCAGTGTGCATTTTGGATATTAATTCTAATGTAATATTCATAGAAACTGCACAAAGATTTCCTGTTGAAGATTCCATCTTCCTAATGTTATATCTTAAATCAGTCCAGATTCACCAAATTTCCAGCTGAATTGAGATGCCTTACTCCTCCTATATCCCCCTATATCATATCCTATTACCAGATTACCCCTCCCGTATCAGGTTACTCCTCCCATATCAGGTTACTCCTCCCATATCAGGTTACTGTATACTGTATACCATATGATATCATATTACACCTGAGGTCCAGCCTGGTTTGTCTGGTGTAATGTTCCACTTATATGATTCCATCCCGAGTCACGTGTGAAACCTGATATCGACCGTCCATGTTCTCGTATTCCGGGAAACTGCCGACGCTCATTATGTCTGACCTTCACCTGCTGACGGTGACCTTGTGGTGTAAATCCTGTCAGGAGCGAAAAGCGCAGACTTGGGTTGGTTCATCCTCTTCAAACCCCATACCTGCTGTATGATTTACCTAGTGTAGCCCACAGTTCAATGTTATCACTAGGGGTTTACCTCTACTCACAACACAGGTAAGCTTAAACATTACAATCTTTATCTTTTGTTACTAGCTATAGCATTTAAAAAGATTGAGGGATATTTTGAAGTAGAAAATAGTGTCAAACAGATCAAATTAAACAATAAGTTTTGAGGACAAAACCTTGTTGTTGAAGAAATGTTGGAAAGAAAGGCACTACAGAAACCTGCAGAAATGAGCCTGACTTCTGTCTACCTACAATTTTGTAATTCTAGATCATGGGATGTTCTGGAAATACAACTTATGTATACTATAGCCGTACATTGAATTTGAAAGAGATACAGACAAATCTAAATCCATCCAGTCTCCATCCTGAGACTCAGATTTTTTACCCTCCTTGTTATTTTGTCATGTGGTTTTACCTGAAAAACTGGTGAAGTGACCTGAGTGTAACCTTCTGGTAAAATAAATAAACTGAAGCTGAAATCTAGATCAGAGGATGTTCAGTGACCTGGATTCTTTGTGGGCCTTTCCTGTCCTACTGAATAGTGCTTCTGGATAAGACAGTCCTGTGGCAGTGTTGTACAGTAGTTTTTTTATTCCAACTTTTCATGACTAGACATGGTGACGGCAGGCTCAAGTTATATCAACAGTACTTATTTTATGCCGCCACCAACGCAGAGGACGAATACAGGACAGGACAATACCCATTTTCACAAGTTAAGTGAGGAACGTCGTGTCAAGTGCCTTTCCCAACAGGATCCCACAAGATCGGTGGCATGTCAGGACTCGAACCCGGGACCTCTTGTTTCCGAGTCGAGCGCGCTGTCGCTACGCCACAGGACCCTTTCTTGTACTGTAGTCCGCTGCCCTGCAGCCAGTCCCAGGTTATTTCACGCCTGACTTGTCTGTCCTGGGAGACAGCAGGAATCCTCAAGCCGTGAAATTCCGTATGCTGCATGAAATTCCATATGGTACAGGACGGTGTCAATTATTCACAAGATTTGTGGCGGAGGCACTTTATGTTCCCACAGTGTATATAACATTATACATTCTGTAATTCTTTAACATAATTCATCAGTGCCATACCGTGGAAGAATACAATACACATGTACATTGTCAAGGTATTACTGGATGTGTATGTTTTTATATACATGTATTTGCATTCCACATGTATATACTATTAGTCAGACAGAAAACAAAATGTAAAATCTACAGTACTACTTGTACTGATCACTTGGCTGAAGCTGTAAGTGCCAGGATGAGATGCTCTTGTCTCAAGCCTTAGCCACTCAAAGGGTTCTTCAGATCACTTCTGTTCTTTCCTAACAGCTATAGTAGGCTGCACTGTCTGAGTGCTTGTCAGACCTTTGCAGGATACTTGAATGTGTACATTTATAGCCATCCTGGGGAAAATGACTTTGAGAAAGTGTGAACTGGAACTACCACAAAACTAAACTTGAAGTTGATAACTAATAAAGGCAAAAATTATAATCTGAGTATTTTTATTTGTAGATACATGTATTGGTAGATGTAAGGCTGCACTTAAGGGTAATGTCTAAAATGTGTCAATGACTTGTGGTGACATCTTTAACCTTCAACCTGCTGAGGTAGCCATTTGGCACCAAATTTTCCTTGGTTATATGAATGAATGAATGAATTTTTGTTTTTTGTGATTGGGCAGTAGGCCTGGAGAAGGTGAAAGTATAAAATATGTCCATGACTTATGGTGACATCTTTAACATTCAGCCTGCTAAGGCAGCCATTTGTCACCAACTTTGCCTAGGATATTGGGTTAGGCAGCAGGGAGAAGGTTAACGTGTAAATGGGTCAATGACATCTTTACTAGACTTTAGTTTAACATTCAGTCTGCTGAGGTAGCTGTTTGGCACCAATTTTCCCTGGGGAATGGAGACAGGCAGGCAGAAGCTTAAAGTGTAAAATATGGCCATGACTTGTGGTGACATCTTTAACATTCAGCCTGCTAAAGTAGTCATTTGGCACCAAATTTTCCTTGGTTATAAATGGGTTTAGGCAGCAGGTCTGGAGAGGGTTAAAGGATGAAATGTGTCAATGACTTGTGGTGACATCTTTAACATTCAGCCTGCCAAGGTAGTCATTTGGCACCAAATTTGCCTTGTTTATGTGGTTAGGCAGCAGGGAGAAGGTTAAACTATGTTTGTGACTCTTGCAATTGGTGACACCTGTAAGCACAGTAACCTGTAAGTACACCAATAACCTATAACTAAGACTAAGTACACCAATAACCAGGCCGGCAGATGTCTCCTCTACAACAAAAGATTCCAGCAGTGAAAACACAACCATCCATCATTCTGTCAGCTAGTCGAACTTCTACTATTTAAGTCCAACGCACATCTTTCTACAGGTACAACGTTGTCTAAGCTGAGCGCATTTCAGTAACAGCAATTTTCCCTTTTGATTTGATTGCTGTTTAATTGCCTTTGCAAGTTAGTTGTACGTTACTAGTGTTACATACATGTGTGTTTACCGATGGCTGATCATGAACCAACCAAAGACTGGTCTGTCGACTGCTCGGATGACTCCTCTGATGACTGCTTTTTGCAGGTACAACATGGCCAAAGCTGATTATGGCTCAGTGACAGCATAGTTTTTACCTTACCTCTTTTCCATGGCAAATTAGTCGTAACTTGTAAGTTAGTGTACATGTGTGTGTGTGTGTGTGTGTGTGTGTGTGTGTGTGTGTGATGGAACCAACCAGACGACTGGTCTGACTGAGTTTAACTCTGTGTCCGTGCAGGTTGGTGAGCGGGACAGTCGGGGTCAGGCAGACGACTTAGCGACTCTCTCCTACCTCGAAACAGAAATTGGGCCTCCAGAAAAAGAGGTATGGGGTTATCTCATCTACATAATCTTACACAATAATCCTGATAGTTATTATGTTTACCAAATAAGGAAAACATATTGTTTTTGCTACGTTTCCTCTTCTTCTTCTTCTTACCAACCACTAACCTCTGACCTGGCCAATGAGCTGATTTGTTGACGTCTGTTACCATGGTAACTGGTGTTGGGTTACATCATGTTGCAGTTTCATAGCAGGAGGGATTTAGACCATACATATGAATTGTACATAAGTAAGAATTAACAGAAGGTAAACATTCTGAATTAATTGCTTTGCAAATGTTACCTTTCTAGTTAATAACATTAATCTAGCAACTTCATAAATTCTCTGAATAGTCAAGTCCTACCTGGATCTCTTAACCTTCAGAGACATTTTCAGGTCATAATTATGTAAAAATTTATTCCCAGACATGTAATTATCACATGATTTCATACGTCATTCTGTAACCTGATACTTTCCCTTCTCTCCAATTCCTGACGAGTCAGTAACGACCTTTAACGACCTTTTACCAGATGAAAGTGCGAAATTGGCCACATTTAATCAGGGCAGGGGCATCTACATGTATGGGTTTTTCCATAGTTCATTACAAGGGTCGTTCCATTGATGTCAGGGGGTGTAAAACCACCCTCAATAAGGTGCCATTGTACTCATTGACGTTAGTCAAAATGTAGAGTCTGACTTGTAAAAAGATGAACAAAATTAGAATTAGATTAATACAGCAGTTACTGTATACCAAGTGCTTGGACCAGTGCAGATAGATACCTGCAAAACCCCAAGTCACTAACCTGTATTAATTATACAGGTGGCATTTTGGGCCCTCCAAATATGATATATGTGTGTCTTTGAGTAAGTTTCCTTTGAATATGTTTAGTTAAGAGTTAAAACTTAAGATCCAACACAAAAAAGTTCTCTCACCTAGAGCTTTCGACCAGTCACTCTGGTCTTCCTCAGTAGACTGACCCAGTGAGGCTTGTCACATGGCTTCTTTGAAGTGTGACGTCAACACTGGGTCAAAGGTATCTGGTAGATGATGTCGGCCCCCGTGTATATAGCCTCCTTCACCCCTCTCAGGAAATAGTCTTGTTCAGTTTCTATGAATGTCTTGACCAGGAAACCGCTATGATATGTAAGACCACACATACATGTACGGTGAGCTGAGACAATGATAAACCACCCATTTCAGCTGTGGACAGCCTTGATGAAGTGTTTGAGCAGATATCTTGTTCTGGCTGGTAAATGTTTTAGACTGTTTCAGCCGCATCTACGCAGGTCAGTCACCCACCATGCAGCACCACATCCCTAACAAAGCAGTGATCTATGCTCCAATATGCGCAGAATGAATTTTTTACTGCGATTTTTCCCAACATTTTACATTACGGCATGCACGCTGGTTCCAACCCACCGCCCAAGCTTGTACCTGCATATACTACACCAGCTCAGCTCAATTTCTCCACTTCAATAACTAAGTGCATTTATTTCAGTAAAGAAAAAACCTTTTAGTGATACAAAATAAATCAAGCCACATACTGGATAGATTTTCTTGAGATCTGATACATTGTTATTAATATTATACCTTAAACTGGATAGTGAGTGTGTGTGGTCTGCGTGAGTGAGTTTGGCACTCTAACATCCCACCTGCTCGAGTGTGCTAGCACACAGCATCAGGGTGTGTCTGTGCTAGCACACAGCATCAGAGTGTGTCTGTGCTAGCACACAGCATCAGAGTGTGTCTGTGCTAGCACACAGCATCAGGGTGTGTCTGTGCTAGCACACAGCATCAGGGTGTGTCTGTGCTAGCACACAGCATCAGAGTGTGTCTGTGCTAGCACACAGCATCAGAGTGTGTCTGTGCTAGCACACAGCATCAGAGTGTGTCTGTGTGTCCCTTAAGCTTCATCTCATGTACTGTACACTAAAGGATGTTTAGGTACAGGTCTTTGGTTCTTATTTACATCTCCAAAATATGGTACATGTGTGAGTTAGGATAGTGACACACTTGTGCTGTCTACCTTGCATTTCGAGAGAAGATCTGGTTAAAGAGTAAAGAGCACATAACCAAGTCTTTTATTCAACTGACGTTTCGGTGACTGTCTGTCACCTTCTTCAGACATTGACATTAACTTAAGCTTAGAAATACTGAAATTAAAAAAGATTCTTCTGGGAGAAATTATATTGAGTACAGATTTTTTACTCTAAGAATGTAAAAAACTGCCCAAGAAGACCACTCAGGGGACCAATAAAATCTGTGCTGTATGTGCATGTGGTCACTATGGATTCTAAATTCTTGTGTCAATCTGGAAATTATCTTACTTATCTAACTTCTAAGGGACCACCAAAAAGTGGTCACATTGGCCAGGTGGTCCTTATGTAGATGTGGTCACTTATTAAGTAGTAGAACAGGCTTTGAGAAATGATAATCATGATCGATCACAGACCATTTTATGACTGGAAAATCGATGGAAGCAAAACAAACAGTATTCTAACCCTGCCGTGCTTACCGTACACGACTGAGGGAATGTGGGTCAGAGGAAAGCTTTCCTCCCGTCCGTGACAGAGCAATCGCCATCTCCCAAATTAACTTTTCAAATGGACTATTGATTTCTCTGTTTGACTGGAAATGTCCACTTTTTTTCTGTTCATCGCAGAATAGAAAACCGATGATGTGGGCAGTAATCTCATGACTGGAGAACACATTTGGTGGGGGAATGACTTAACAGTGCAATGCAGGGCTGGAAAGCTGGCTGCACATGAGAAGTGCACAAGTTTTTGACTGTGCACATACATTGTAGATATTTGTGTAGATTTATCTAAGAGGGAAAAAAATCTAATGCTCTGGATGGTGGGGGAAAGACTATTTGTAGATTACCTATGCAGGGCTGGAAGTACTGGGTGCATTTCCACTTTTGTACTCCCAAAATTAGAGCTGCATGGACACCTAATATTCGACTGCAGATATAGATACTTAGTATGTAGGTTTATGCAAAAGTGCTGTTGAGCACTTTTTAGTGTACTGCATATTCTTGGCATTTGAGTGTCAGAAAAGATAACAAAACCACTCTTATATTTCTTGTTAGATATCTTGTTTAGCTGTAGAATTTCAGATTCAAGCTCTAAATGTCGTGCGCCAACACATTTTCTGTGCACCAAGATTTTTAGGTTAGCTGCAGTTGAGTACACGAATTTGGAGCCCTGCATGTGATAGTGGTAAGAAGTCCGATCATAGATTCATTCAGTGTTCAAATCAGCAGGTTTGATGTTTATTGATTAACTAAATGGACTAAACCAGAGGAAAGGTTAATGGATATCGATGTTTGTTCTCCCAGCATCTGTCTGATTCAAGAGTACAGAGAGACACGGGATCAGAAATCATGAAAAGGTTTGGACAAATCGAAACAAAGGAAAAGGCCAGGATCACAATATGTTATTTTATTTTCAGTTATCCTTTATTTCTGACACCTTAAAAATAAAAGATAACTGACTATGGGCACTGGAAGGCATTCAGCACCAAGGACAGAGAACTGAATCAGCAGTATGATATTGTTTTTTAAGGGGGAGGGTCATACTAGCAAGTGAGAAGGCATGCCCACAATCTCACATTACTGACCATAGGTGCAGGGAAGGCATTCAGCACCAAGGACAGAGCAATACAACTGAATCTGCACTATTTTACACACTTAGATATAGGTGTTTTACACACTGACTAAGGGCACTCGGATAGCATTCAGCACCAAGGACAGGGCAACACTACAGGAACTATAGCAGCTCTGTGATGTTGATGTTTTCTTGGTGACAGACCATTCACACAAGCTAGTCAGTGAGATCAAATGTCACATTTCCACCTCATACTTTACACACTGTGGGCACTGGAAGGCATTCAGCACCAAGGACAGAGCAAGCTTAGTTCATTGTACCCCCTAACATTCTGGCCTACTGATACAATATGGTGCAGTGAGGCACCTATAAAGTGTAAGGGTGAAAATGTGACATGCATACAGCCATAAACATCACGACTGTCCTGATTTTGAATATGACATGATAAAACCTTTGTGTGCAAATCAGCAGAGCAGTATCCAAGACGCCGACGTAGGCTACCTGTACAAAAAAAAGCCAGATAAAAATGTCTCAAACATGTACAAAATAATAATATTGCCTAAACCTCTGCTTGCAGAGTACATCCAACAGTCTGACTGCCTTATAATGTATACAGACATGAGTACATGGGACAAGTACTCTCACTATGGCAGCCTACAGATATGAGTAGGAGTTTATATCTGACTGCCTTATAATGTATACAGACGTGAGTAGGTCTTTATAACCTCCAGTCTAACCCCAGGCACAGATTTCCCGCCCACCTACTCTAATGCAGGCCTGCCACAGTCAGGTTAAGGCATCGTTCTGATAACACTCCACTGTTAGTATCCAGTCTTTGAGTGGGCGCCCTGAAATACAGGTTCTGACAAGTAAAGTCTCTGTAAGCTGTTTATTTAGGCCAGCCATAAATCCCCTTCCAACCTACCCAGCTCAGGGCTCGAAATTCATTTTTGGGAATAGGTGCACCCGGGTGCACCCAACCAAAGAAAATGCTGTGTACTTCTTACATTTAACATCTTTACATACGTAAACCTACAGAAATATTTGGGTGCACCCACAGGAAAAAAATGGGCGCACAGCTCCAAATTTGGGTGCACTAAGGTGCACATGCACCCAGTATTTCCAGCCCTGCAGCTGATTTATAACATCAGAGATCTGAAAGCTCGTTTGTAACTGCAGAAATTAGCAGGTAATTAGAGGACCTTTTATAAAATTTACATGAATCCTGTAGACAGAAACAATATCTAAGTGTGGAACAAACGGTGCTGACTGTAGGTTTCCATTTATGTGAGATATGTTATTCCATAATCAATGGTAGAAGGGGAAAATGCATGACAGAGATGAAATCAAACCATTAATAACATGGTGAGAGTTGGTGAGAGGTATTAGAAAATTACTGCAGATCTTGAAATTTTGGCAGTCAGGTATTATTTTGTGATTTTGACCGCTCCCCTGCAAAATGGTGACACTGCGAAAATGCACTTCCATTGTGTTACCTGCACAAAAATTGTTTCAACTCCAAAATTCATACACCTAAAACACAGCAAAAACCTTCTGTTGTGGGGTTAAGTATTGCCCCCAAAATAGCTGTATTATGTATTATGCAGTATGTATATTGTATGATGACCTAGTAGATCATGAGAGAAGCACACAGAACCACCCTAATAACAGACTGCAGCAGGTTCCATTTACAGCTGGTTTCCAACTGATGCAATATAATTATAACCTGATCCGGCTTTTATTTCGAGGAACATACTGACTTACCTAGGTCTGCTATTACAATAATCTGTTACAGTTACAATAGTGAAAAGTGGTGTAGAAGTCTAATGTCGCTTTTATATGATTGTGAAATTTGTGTTGTTGGAATCCAGGAAGAATATTTTGCACAAAAAATTGCGCAACTAATGTGGATATCCCAATAAAGTATCAAAGTATCCAATATGACATGTAGAAGTGAAGGATTATGATTATGGTGACAGTAATTTCTGTGTCTTATATTTTTGCAAGTGATAATATTGTACTATTATTCCAAAGGTCAGAGTAATGTAGATGCTATGAGAGATTCTCCCTGCCAAATTCCTGGTTGCTGGGTTATAGGGCCTAAGGAAAAAGAAAAGTTGTGTTTCCTGTTTCCCTAGAAAAACCTGCCGACCCTAGACTTTTTTTGGGGCGTGGACCCTGCAAGGGACATAAGTTTCGAGCTGATGAACCTTTTCTAGCTCCATGATCTGAGTGATAAAATGTTGTACAATTGGTTTTGTAACATTGACATTAAAACTAAAAGTGTTCCCATGCAGGTTTTATTAATCTTAAACTGTATTGTATAAGTTGGACCCCTATATATAGATATCACTAAAAGTTAAAAGAGAAAAAAAGATAATCCCTAAGCTACCAACCCTAATTCGTTCAGGACAGAAACAGGAAACACAACATTTTTTTCCTAGGCCTAATTACATTAGAAGGTAAGAGGTGGTTATAGTGTCTTATTAACTTCTCTGTGTGATCCCAGGGTTGTAATTTGATAAGGGAGGAGGTTCACACATTTTAGTCGGACTGATTTGGTTACCTGCTTCCTGTATTTCCAAGAACTTAATCATAGACTGGAACTCGTTGCCACCAAGCACAGTTGGGGCATCGTCACTAGAAAGCTTTAAACAACTCCTGCAATCAAATGGGCAAAGATTGAGTGTAACAAATCGTTCGGTGTGATAATTTAGCTAGCTGCCGCCGCGCCGCGTGCCGGTTATGGAGGACGGTTATACCGGTTGTATAGATACAGATGCAGATGTTAGAATTGTCCAAGAGCCAAGTATGTTCAGCACACATATATTTTAAAACATACAATCATGCTTTACTGTGATCTACAAAGGAGTCTAAGCACACACAAATACAAATTAGAGGTGTGACTGTAAAAACTGTAGTTTGTATCAAGATGCAGCAAGATGAAGTCATTTTTTGAAAACGTTTTTTTCCTGTTTCCCCCCAGGTCCGATATCAGACCTTCATAGCCAGTTCGAAATACCTGTCTGCAGTCTGCAATCTGCAGATAGATTTTCAAGATTGCAGAAGAAAAATTTATACAATCTGCAATTTTGCAGAAGGAAAAGCAGGCTCCAGATTCAATAGTTTTCAATTTAGCAAACTAGAACTCTCTGGCCCCAAGGCCTGTCCTAGGGCAGACAATACTTAAGCTTCTATTTTGAAGCAATAGGAGCTTCTTCTGTCACTAATTTGCATCATCCTTGTCTTGACTTGTCTATCTTTTGTTTCCCTTTGGACTTACAGAAATTTGTCTTCGCTAATTTGCATATGAATCAATAGTTGGTACTTATAAACCTGGAATTCTCTTAGTGTCACTGACAAAAGGTAGTAGTCTGACTGTTTCAGGTAGCACCAAAATCATAATTATCGAGTTGCTTAAGAGTTAAGTACTGTTTTTTTGGTGTGTCTTTCATTAGTATGTTGTGTGGAAGGATGATATGTGGGTGTGATTACTAGTACATTTACAGGTAAGGTATGATTTTAGTTGTAGCAGCTTGTAGTGGGAGACAGCGGTGAAAGACCCGTGAAGATACCAGTAAATGGTAAATTTTCTGTGGAGATTCAGAAGGATCTATAAAGTCTGAAATTAAAAAGAGTGATAGATTAAACTTAAAAGAATTCCAGTAATGCTACAGATTTACAAAGCTATATGATGTAAAAAAGGCATTGATGGTTTGAGAAGGTTGTAGTATGGAGGCTTGTGTATTTGCAGAAAGTATTTTCAAATTGCAGAACAAAATTTTGACTCTTCTGCAATATTGCAGAGCATTGAAAAAAAGTATGGGCTCAGGCCTAGGAAAAAAAATGTTGTGTTTCCTGTTTCCCGACTGATCCAAGACATTTTTTTGTGGATCCCTGCAACTGACATACATAAATGAGCTGATCGACCTTTTCTAGCTCCATGATCTGACACCCGAGTGATGAAACATCAATGTTCAAATGGTTTTCCAACATTGACATTGAAACTGTAAGTGTCCTCATGAAAGTTTTTCTTTGTTAAACTGTATTGTTAATTTTTACAAGTTGGATCACTAGAGACTGCCGAAGTCTAATAAAAAAACTGAAACAGGAAACACAATTTTTTTTTTCCTTGGCCTCAGATATCTGACCTTCCTGTCCAGGATGTGCCTTTCCTTCCTGATAACCTTAACGACAGTCATGCATATTTCATGCTGCTCTCTGTGAGTGAGTGATTCTCCCCTAACTCTGCTCTGTTGTATCCGTGGTGAAGGTGTAAGCAACAAATGTCGTGTTTCCTGTTTCAGTCCTGAAAAAATTATGGTCGGTAGGTAGGGATTATCTTTTTTTTTTAGATAATTTTTTTTATCAGACTTTGGCAATCTCTGAAGTGATCCAACTTATACAATACAGTTTAAAAAAGTAAAACTTGCATGAGGACACCTATATTTTCAATGTCAATGTTGGAAAACCGATTGTAGAATATTTCCTCACTCAGGTGTCAGATCATATGGAACTAAAGAAGTTTAAATCCGCTCAAAAATTTTTATCCCTTGCAGGAGTCCACAAAAAAGGCAAGGGTTGGCAGTTTTTTCTATGGTCAGTCGCAGGAAACCCAACATTTTTTCATTGGCCTACATTGTAACAGGGAGACCTTCACTCCTACAGACCAACCCTGGCTACTAAAGTCACATTTCCCAGTGAAACTGTCACTACCACGTCCCCCTCCTGTCAGAAATGTGGTTATTTATAATCCTAACCCATCTCCCACGCGGTTATGACTGATGCTAACCTGAACTCACACAATGGATCCCGTAGTGAGGGATGACTTCTATTGACAGGTCCTACAATATTCCTTACTGCTGCTGATGATGAATGAATGGTGAAGCGTAGCAGGCAATCTGCCTAATGGCACGTCTTTGTGTAGCTTATAACAATAGTCCTGACGTTTTCAGGTTAGTAATGCTCATAATTGATGTGCTGAGAAGTAATATCAATCTTATTTGTTTGTTTAAATATGTTTTAGAGTACATGATATATACTATATCTGTTTATTGTAATATGAATGTTGCCTATAACATATTTCATCAGTGGTTTAAGATCTAATCGTGTTTAATTGTTAATTCTGCCAGCTTGCAGGATCCTCCCTGCTGCCTAACCTCGTAACCAATACAAACTCGTTGCCAAATGGCTACCTTAGCAGGCTGAAGGTTAATGGCCCTGTCCCTAGTGCTGAAACTGTGGTTATTAACCTTCTCCCTGCTGCCTAACCCCATAACCAATACAAACATGATGCCAAATGGCTACATGTACCTTAGCAGGCTGAAGGTTAATTCTGTTTTGCAATGACTCATAAAATTTCCCTCCAGTATTCCTTTTCTGGACAAGCAGTTCATGAATAAAAAAACAAATTTAAAGAATAATATGACATAAATCTATAAAAAGCAGGTCAATCACCTCATATATCAATGAAGCCCGATTCCATAAACTTGCACATGTATCATTAACTGTTTTGTATTGGGTAAAATCAAAAGCCCTTAAAATCCAAAATACTGTTTAAGTGTGTTCTGAACTCTTTAAAATTTAGCTGCCTCAGCAAACTATAATTATTTAATTTATTATTATTACATTATTATAAAGCTGGTTTCCTTTTAATACTTCATTTGCAGAGTTTTTCCCAGCTAAGAACCTTGAGTCTGAACCTGCCCTTAGCTTGCAAATTTCGTGATGACCAAATCTTATAACACTAAATATTCAAAGTGAAAATATATCCAAAATAATGCTCCATGGAACTTCATTCGCTAGTACCCCCAGTGCACTTCGAAAATTCTCAACAAAGACACATCTTGCCACTTCCACCGAAGCAAAATCACCCTTTCTTCCTCCATTCACCACCTCTTAGGTGAAAGTTCCACGCTGAAAGCTTCTTTCCAAGAACAACATCACTATGGAATAAGCTACCTCGTGATTGCTTCCCCTATGAGTATAACCTTAAACTCTTCAAGTCTAAGGTCAACAAACATCTGTCCTCACTGGCTGTTCTGTAACCCAAAACATTCTAAGTGTCTCCCATGAGCCTTGTTTTGTGGGCACATTGCAGAACATGAGATGTTTCCAGCCATTTTTGTGATTGCCTGTATTTTATATCCTCCCCTGGGAACGTTCTTCTAGCAGGTAAATCTTGATTTATGGACAGATACTGATACATGGCTGTATATCAGGGAGCTTTGTAGTCGTCACAATGTAGCAAATCTTTGCTGTGAAGTTTTGCCACAAATGGTGTGAATTCCACTTGTCAGGAATTGAAGACTGTCACAATGTTATGGGATGAGATATGAAGATGAGCTGTATGGTGTCCATAAAAATGTTGCAAACCTCAGCTGTAACGTTTTGTTACAAATGACATCAGCCACAATTGTCAGAAATTAAAGACAAGTTTTGGGGCAGGTGTATCGATGAGTTCTATGTATAATTTTTACATAGTGTGTATAAATGTAGCAAATCTTGACTGTAAAGTTTTGCCACAAATGACATCAATTCCATATAGGCAGGCACATCCACAAGCTCTATAGTAGCCAGAATGTAGCAAATCTCAGCAGAAATTGCTACAAATGACATCAGCTCCACTTGTCACAAATTGAAGTTTATGGGCAGATGTATCAATCAGTTCTATAGAGTACCCATAATGTAGCAAATCTTGGCTGTAAAATTTTGCCACAGATGATGTCAGCTGTACTTTCAGGAATTGTACACATTATGGGCAGATATATCCGTAGTAAATGTAGCAAATCTGAGCTGTAAAGTTTTGCCACATGACGTCAGCTGTGCGCTGAAGACCTGAGGTCATGCCCCGTCCAGATGGCAGATTTGGCAGGACGTGAGTTTTACGTCGCCGTGAATATTCCTCAGCCGACTTTATAATTCTGTAACGTCTTTTTACTGCCGATCTGGGTCAGAAGTCAGGCTGGGGATTATTTATTTATGTGACCTCCATGAATGGGTAATTTTACTGCTGCTGTAGAACCTGTTAGGCTTAGGAAAATAAAACGTTGTGTTTCCTGTTTCCTGACCGAACCTAAAAAAACTACCAACCCTAATCTTTTTTGGGGTGACCCCTGCAAAGGACATAAATTTTTGGAGCAGATCAACCTTTTCTTAAATTTCTAGTTTTATGATCTGATAACTGAGTGATAAAACATCGAACAATCAGTTTTGCTATATTGACATTGAGAATAAAAGTGTCCTCATGCAAGTTTCACTCTGTTAAACTGTATTATATTCTATTATAATATTATCATAATTATTATTATTAACTTATTAAAGTTGGATCACTAGGTATCGCCAAAGTCTAATTTAAAAAAATGAAAGGAAAAAATAAGATAATCCCTACCTACCGACCCTAATTTTCGGCAAGACTGAAACAGGAAACACAACAGTTTTCCCCAGGCCCGACCCCGATGAATGCATCAATGTTACAGCCTCAGCGGATCTGCTTTGAGCCACATCCTGACTTCATACTTCCTGCTCAGCTCTGGCCAGTCTGACATGTCAGAACTCAGCCAGCTGTGAAATAACTCAGAGGTCAGGATTTAACAGTCCTTAAGCTGTGGCTACATGTAGGTCCAACATTACAGGTTTAGCACCACCTGCTGATGCTACATGTGCACAAACTGTAAATATCTGGCTAATCAGAGGGGTGTGTTGAGGGGGGGGGTGCGTGTTCAGTTTATGGGAAAATCTGCTGGAAATCAGGCAGCTGTAAAATAGTACAGAGGTCAGGATTTAAGGGTCCCTAAGCTGGGGCTGCCCAACAGTACAGGTTTATCACCAGCTGCTGATGCTGTGTGCACAAACTGTAAATCTCTGCCTAATCAGGGGGGGGGGGGCTGTTCAGTTTGTGGGAAAATCAGGCTTGTAATCAGTAAATCTCTGTTTAATCTGTTGTAGGTCAGGTTTAGGTTTGACTTCCGTTGGGGCCAGGATTTACCAGTGCCTAATCCGTGGCTGT